GCAATTTTGTGAGCATTTCAATGTTAAATCATTAGGCTTCCAATTGACAGTACTGATTTGGCTCCTTTTCTTTTTGTTTCCTAATGTTAAAACTTCTTTAAAGAGCACCTGTTTTTCTTCAGTTAATAATGCAAAAAGACTACAATAACCTGGTAAAAGTCCCAGGACCCTCATAGTAAATGATTAATATCATTGCTTTATAAAGTATCTTTAATTTTATGGAGCTTATGTTGAGAAATAAAGTTTTATTTTTTAATTTTTCTCTTCTAATTTTATTTTTCCAAACACTTTTTGAAGTGCCTTCATATTCCATGTAAGCCCTGGTATGGTGCTGTGGGACAATGGGCTGGATTACAAGGTCGTTTTTGAACTGCAAAGTTGGCCAGATGCTCCTCGGAAACCCTATACAGAGTCATTATGAGTCAGAATGACTTGACAGCACTTAATAACAACAGTTCCTAACATTTAAAAGAGGAATACTTGTGTACCTGAAATTTTCTTCATCTTCATTATCACTCTGTAAAAGATCATCATTTAGCTCTTCATCTGACAAATCCGACTGATTCTAATAAAAATAAGAAAGTTAATTAATGCATGTCATTTCCATAATAAGACTTGTTATAAAAGTGCAAAATTACAGTAAGTGGATTATTTCTAACATTTGCCACCCAGAAAGATTTCTCAGCTTGGTACTACTGGTTGACCATCAATAGATTCTATACAGAGCATACTAGCTAATTGCCTTAGACTAGTTTTAGATGTTACAGACAAATTATAATGAGTCCTGGTGGCACGGTAGAATAAGCACTAGAATGCTAACTGCCAAGGATGGTATTCAAACCCAGCAGCTACTCCTCGAAAGAAAGATGAGACTTTCTGCTCCCGTAGAGATTTATAGCCTCAGACACCCTATATAGGATTTCTATGAGTCAGAATTCACTAAGTGGCAGTAACAGATAGGCAAGTTAGTAAAGAAGCATCAAAATTAATGATCCTGTTATTCTGATTTCTTAAAAGAAAAAAGGTGGATTCTTTGGTGAATTCCTATTTTAAAAAGTAAATTTTTTTCTTATCATACACAAAAAAGAAGGGGATCTTTACTATTTGACAAAATTTAATACTATTAGACAGTATCCCCAGGGCACGGTGGTATCACCGTTAAGACATGCCCTGGAGTGAGCGGACAGCCACTTCTCCATCTTTGGAGCGAGCTTGCCTGAGGGAGCCAGCATTCACCGAAGACCCACCTGAAAGAGGGATGTCATCTGCATTTCCATTGAGG